CCAAACACAGCAGATATCAATAGGCAAGCCTGATCTCCTAGGTCTTTCTGATACAAAGTTTAAGACGAATCTGCATAAGGTCAATGCAGAGAACGAGCAAGACCTTCAGGTTGCTTCAAAAAAGGTTAGTTTGTCTTTTGCCTAATGCCTTATCTAAATACTTGGTGTCTGGGATGCTTGTTATATGATCAGAATCGAATACATCTTCATTCTTTTCTATGCCAGTAAATTAAGCCGATTCGCTTTTTCTAAATTTCTTTCTATACAATTTACCTTTTTTTATCCCTTATTTCTTGAAACGACTTATTATTCTTTCCACATCCCTTACAGTTTAGGATAATCTTAGCGAGTCTAAGTGGATGCTAAGTCTATATGACAGTTATTTTCCATTAGGTAACATTTAGCCATTTTTTAATGTCATAGTTTTCACTCCACACTAAGCTGCACGCTCCCTCTGCTAGATTTTTGCGTAGCATTAAGGCTTATTTTGATTAACCGGTACTTTTAGATTTATTCATTTAATTTATTAATTTCTAGTTGGCTGCATCATCTGATTTCTGCCCTTCTTGTGGCCATCTTATGACCAAATCAAGGGGTACTGGCTGTTGCTGCTCATATCAATGTGGCTTTGCTTCACGCCAAGAGATGTTAGAAAGCCTGGCTAGTGCCTGTGACCACCGTTTACTAAATCCAGCCTTCCTTTGTGGCCTTGATCCTGCTACACCCTTTCTTCTTGGTCTCGATGCTGACCCAGTTGATCTTCTTACTAGGTTACCATTGCCACTCTCACTAACTGGTTCACCCGTGACTACTCCTTTCAAAACCTCACAATCGCCCCCATCAATATTTATATCCTCTGAATCTGGGGTCCCTATCCATTTTTCTGATGGTTTCTGGAAAGAAGATATGAATCATGTGGACTGTCCTTCCGCTACGCCGACCACATTTACAACCACAGTCACAACCGCCTCTGCTTTTATGACAAATAGGCCAGACAGCCCTGTAGATGAGCCTCCATTTTCACCTTCGCTAGATGGCCCTGCCTTTAATGATTTTACAGCAGCTTCTCAGGCGTCTTCACCTGCCGTACCACTTGAGTTTCCTGAAGTATTTTGCCCAACTTTTGTGTCCAAAATGCCTGATGAAGCTGGAGTTGAGAGGCAGCAGGAAGCAGATACCGAACTACTATTTACCTCATTAGATTTGATTGATTCAGTCGTCGATGTTAATCCTGTCAGTCATGCAGTTATCCAAACTCCGCCGCCCTCTCCGCAGATCCAAACAGAAAAAGAAGTTTTTACTGACAGTGGCAATGATGCTGATGATCTCATCTGTGACGCCAGTCGAGAGCTGATTGATATAGTTGTGACGGCCACTGGGGTTAACATCGATTCAACCCCAGCACCACCAACATCATATATTCAACCCGTCTCAACACAATTTTTGCCAGCCAGTCCCCCCCCACTAATTCACTCTGAACAATCGGGTAATGAGATTAATCCTACAGATATTCAACAGATAAGTATATCGTCGCTAGGAAGCGCCAACTCAGTTGGTGATTTATTCTCCTTTGTGCTAAATTCACGGACTAGTACAGAAGCCGCCCCAACCTCTCCATTACTTTTTAATCCTATCGAGCTACCAGCTGAGCAGAATAAATATCAAAGTTATTCGTATCAGACTACACAGTCAGAAGGAATTTCCGTTCCGATATCTTCCAAAGCATCCAGTCACAGCGTGGAAACTGATGACACCATCAATATTACCGTTAGTACTGCTACATGTGAAACGATGTCGGCCCAAAGTTGTAGCCAAAACAATGAAGTCCCTACCAGTATGGATGATCTAGTCGTCAGATTGACGCTTTACTCAGTCAAGATGATATCTATCCTTGATCTTCTTACAGCCAAACGGTTGAATGCCTCGGCAATAAAGCTGGCTTTGACTGCTCAAAGTCAAGTATCCCTTCGTCGGACCGGCCTTCCTTCAGTCTACAGCAATCAGTAATGAGATAACCAGGGCTAACTCTGATTTAGCACCGATTAGATATCTAGATGTAAGTATTGTGCTCCTTGATGCATTGGAGCTGCTCATTTCTCAGTATGTATTCATCTTCACTTGATATGCAAACCACTTTTGGGTTATACGCCATACTGACTTTTCCACTTTCTCCAACAGATCCGGAACATTTTCGTATAAAGGCATTTGTAGAACATGAACTTGAGTCGCTACTGCCTCTTTCTCCATATCAGTCTACCCATACATATATTTATCTATATATTTGCATATTCTGTGACTAAAATGTTTGTGCCTAAGATTGCATTTGTTCAAATTGTTTTCTATTTTTTCTATTCACTTTTATTCTTTCATCACTACGTATCTTTTCCTCTCCTGACTACCCAAATGACGCCACACTACCACATCTCTGGAAAAAGTTTACTAAGTGATTATTTTTTTAAAGTAATCTATAACGCGTTTTTCTTTACCTTTGTAACTCCTTGCTCCGCTCATTTATAAAGCGCAAACCCAAGATTTCCCCTGTACTATTATACATGTATTGGAGTTTTTTTCATTCCTTCCCTACTATCATAAATTCCTATATATTCTCTATGCTTTTAACTTTTTTCCGCAACCGGTAAAACCCCAACTTACAGCTTTAGCAGATTATATTTTGTCAATTTTTCACCTCATGCTACTCGGCTGTTTAAGCTAAAATCTTAGACGCTTTCAGAATATTTTTCTCGTTTCCTAACGGATTTTTTCCTTTCCCGATTTCGTCTTTAATTCCTTTTCCCGGTGCTATTTAAAAAGCTTTTTATGTCACTTTCATTTTTTCCTCCACTTATGAGTTTGTTATCTGGCGGATAACCTATTAGTAAATAACTAATGAATGAACAAGATTTTCACGTCCATACGATTTTATTATGACTATATTATTTTCTTGTTCATACTCACTGTTTATATATTTACAGCGCTGAGATTTACTTACATTTATTTATATGCTCTTCCGTGTTTCTACCGAGGATTATCCCACCGAAATAGCTTTCTGTGTGATCCTTTTCTTATTCAACCAGTTGCACCCTTTATCCGGCCTTGCTTATTGTCATTCCTTGTGCCATTAAACGCGCCTGTTTTTGTTCCACTTTTTGATCCACATGTGGTGGCTATTCTTCTCTGACCTTTCAGCAAACCATTTATTTCTCTTATACATTTAGCACCTATCATTCGGTCTGCGTATTCATTCTGTCCGAAATTTATTCAATGATTACTTGGTGCATTATCAATCTTGCGCCATTTAACTCGATCTATCTATTTCTTATTCCGGTCTTTTCCCTTGCATTGTTATTGTGTTTGCTTTTATGTCTATTATTCATTTTGCCATGATCACTTTTCCCGATGCTACGCCTCGGAACCGGTTTCATTTTTTAATTAAATAATTATTTATCTGATTGTCTTTTTTGTGCTCAGTTGTCAAAAGGGTTAATCTGCTCCAGCATTTTATATTTCTCACACAATCTGGCTATTCATAACTTATTGATGACCATCTTGTGAAGGCTAATGTAGCTTACATCTTTATAGACGCATGCTTTAGTTATTGGTAGGATGTTCGATATATAAGTCTTGTGAATGAGGTATCATAGTGGAGGATACTTATTTTTGTGTCTTCCTTCTGTCGTCCTGCATCGTAGTTTTGCTCTTCTTCTGCCTCACTTCATATATGAATCTAATGTCAGGTTGACTTTCCAACATTACGTTTTATTAAGCTTTACTTTTAATATCTTGTTCTTTAATGACGAAATTGCTATTTCCCATTTATGGTAATATGTGACCTACATCTCTCCAGCCGAGTGCTATCTTGCTACCAAATTTAACTAAAAGTAACTGCGTCTATTTGATTCTCCTGTCATAGTGTGTGAAACTTTCTGACGAAAGGATGCATAGGCTAATCCCACCAGAATACGAAGGCGGATCCATATTATTGTTCAGTTTATTTTTCTGTGAATTTCTTGTAAAAACTGTCCACGAAACAATACTTCAGTCCTGGAGAAAATGGGATGTGTATTCGACAATGGGCAGATATTGTCAATGCCAGATATAATATTTTCCAAAACTAAGCTAAATTGAATTTTAAAAGATTAACAGGCTCCCCAGTACATTCTATACTTACTAGAAACCAAGCATAACGGATCAAATAAGATTGAATCATTTGGTAAGTTCCTCTTTGTTTATACTAAATCATTTTTTGTTTTTAGTGAGGAGCTGGTGTGTATTCTTGACTTAATTATGCTGTAAATTTTTGTAATAATCAGAGCCAGCTGTGACGAGGTCTGTCATTTGACAGACTAAGCTTGGTTCGTTTTTAGCTCAACTAGAGATCTGCATTTACTCATGGGCTGTATCAACCCTCACATCGTAGTAATATAGAATGTCTGTAGCGAATCTGGAATCTGCTGTCATATTATGGTGAGGCCTACCTATCAGTATCTTCATCAAACACTTAAAGGCCTGTTCCGAGTCTTCGTTCGGGCTGAAATTTTCAGAGATGTTTACATTTTGTCTTCTCATATTCGGATGTATAGTCCTTGCCTTCACCGAATATTTGTGTTCGCCGCACAACTACAGTCAAGTAATTCGTGTTCTCAGGTCGCACCTATCCGAGTTCTTCTCTCCCACATGATGATTATATCATTTTTTTCATTAAGTTTTGTAATATAGCATACATCTTGTTCTGTGCGACGAATTTTCGGCTCTTTCCTCTTATGCGCATACACGCAATCGGTGCTCATTCTTCTCCAATTAAAGAATATAAAAGCAGAAAAGCGCCTAGCTTACTGAGCACTGGTGGATCTTCGTGGGACTGGGATCATCTGAGTCGAATCCTCGAATAAATTTTTTGGCAACATTTTGGCATTGAACCTCTACGTTTTCTATTCTCGTCTACCTGCACTATAGCAGCGTCTAATATCTAATATGATCGACGCTACACTAATTCCACATCCTAACAAAATCCTGCTATCGCAAACAGCAACTCTGCTGTCCTATAAATAAGCTTCAGACTTCAGCCGGTACCTGTCGGTGACAGCAACTCTCAATTTGTTCTACCGATAGCGCATCGCTTCGGCTGCCATATTCTTCCCTTCTTTTTCACATGATCATTCCACTAGGCAACTATGTACTCCAACTGGTCTGTACTACATACGCCTTTTCTTGTCTTCTTTCCTATGCTCTTTCTGTGTCAATTTTCTGGTCCTATTAGTTCTTCACTCTTTCTCGGTTGGTGCAGGTGCCTTAGAGCAAGTAATGACAACACTAAGATGACAAAAAATCTTCCAGCTCCGTTATTATGGAAAGGTGATTTCATCAGACTATTATTTCATCCGGTCGCAAGGCCTGAGGGCTTGATCTGTTCTCCCATCTTGCCCCCTAAGAAATCGCTGTGGACGGTGATTTTAACATACCTGGCGGGAGATAAACCTGCAATTCACAAGTGCTGCAGCTTGTAGTCACGGCCAGAATACGATTGAGCCATAGGCTTGGTAATGACTTTTATTTCGTTTGAAAAGGCGGGTATAAGATTTTGTAAACTCTTTTCATCGAATACCGAAGGAGGATTGCTTTGGACTTGTGACTGCTGGATTGTCTGAAAATGTCCTTGGCTCTCCCCTTTGCGACCACCGGCCATCTCTGTTGAGCTTTCAACTGTCATATGGCGGATATCGTCAAGGCAAGAGACTTCAATTCACGAACAATTATTAAAAACATTATACCAAGAAATCCTACTTACCTCTTATGCCCAACTTTGTGGTCTTCATGAGGTATCCCATGATTTGATTGGCTACTTCATACCTGCCCTACATGCATGTTGGTATGGTTGACGCATGAAAGGGGTGTGGATGTGGTCACAGATTCTCTTTATGCAAATAAACCAGCGTATGATCGTGAAGAAATTATTTCTCTTTTAGGTTTGTGGATTCGTGTGTATGCAATACTCGTCAGTCAGTAAGCAATTTCCAGCCCAAGCCAGACTCCAAGTCGATCAAGAGGTCTCTTCTTCGTTCTCTTTCTCTCTCTAATTCTATCCAGTAGCCAGAGATAGTTTTTTGCCTAATTTTCTACACTATTTCCTCTTATTCAGGATGCTCTTTACTTTTCATTTTTATAAGCAGGTTTTCGGCAAATGCAACCGCTTCATCGACAGCTTCACCACAGGATGTGATATGGGAAAATGTCTGGCCTTCCATGTAATTCACATCTGCCCTGTGACCAAAGGGGACTCGTGGCAGTCTGACGTGGTGGTTAATGTGTCGACATTATACGTTGCATTGTTAGTTCGAGTCCCGCTAAGAGGGTGCTGATGAC